GGTGGACATCGCGGACATCTCTCCGTCGCACCAAGACATAATCGATGAGGTGCCAATGCTTAGATCTGGGGTGCATCCAGGTTGTCTTCAGACTATTTTCCTGCTGAAAGATAGTATTAGTGATGGTGAACTGTTGCTCTGCACAGAATTCTAGCAGAAGTCGACCATTATCATTGCAGTTTCCAACACCATGCTTGCCTAATACTCCTTTCCTGGCTTCAAAATTCTTGCCTACTCTGGCGTTGAAATCACCAAGGATAATGATCTTATCATCTGCAGGAACCTCCTGGGTAAGGCAGCGCAGGTCGGTGTAAAATTTATCTCTTTAAGCAGGGTCAGCTTGGGGAGTTGGGGCATATATAGTAAAGAGGACGACGTGTTGCTTGTTGTGTAGTGGAAGGCATAGGGAGATAATTTGGTCAGTGACCTGTCGGCAGATTTTCGAGTTTAGGAACAATGGAGTTTTTGATCATGAAGCCGACTCCTGAGAGGTGTTTTTTGGTTCTGGGCTTACCTGACCAAAAGAGTGTGTAACCGGCACCATGTTCTCTGAGGCTGCCTTCTTCATGAAGGCGAACTTCACTGAGAGCGGCAATGTCGATGTTGAGACGAGCCAGGTAACACTTTGCCAAATGTTCATATATTTGATAAAAACTATTAAGTGAAAAACAATAAACGATCAAGTCCAGTAGGGAAGATTGGTCTAGGAGGAAAACATCAGCTTTAAGAGAGGTGGTAGAAGCTGAGGGTAGAAGTGTTGTGCTGACAGTCCATAGCATGGTCATTTAAGAAAGTGGAGATGGGGTATTTTTTTGCTAACTGTAAAATTTGCTCACTGGTCTGAAATGTACTTTTTCCCTCAGATTCACAGGGAATGACCTAAATCAATTCTTTCTCCTCTTAGACTATGCTCAGAGAATGACAGTCAAAGCTAAGGAGGATATTTTAAATCGATTAATGAGGTGGCAGAAGATAAGTCTACAGTAATATCAATGCCCCACCTAAATCCAAATATAAGAAAACAACGAACCAACGAAACCCCAGTGCACAGTCTGTCAGAGAGCTGGTGCTATTCTAGCTATCACATAGGAAGTTCTGTGTGAAGACTATCTGGGTTCCAGGTACTTCACAAGTGAAGATTCCTCACCTCTGTGTGAAGAAACTATCTGGGTTTTAGCTGTTGCTCCAGAAGGTGATGGGTCTGTGCCATAGTGCCCAGTCCCATGTGGCCATCCCAGATGATACAGGGCTTTCAATGCACATCAGTGGCACCTGAATCATCTATTTCTACCTATAATACTTATCAAGTGTGTATTTAGGTCACACCTGAAAATACTGAATATCTGAAATACACTTGGGGATTTTCCTTTAATTATTTAAAAGTTCACCCTAATTGGTCAGTTCTGCACCAGCCCATAAATCCATAAAAACAACTGGACAGAAATTCTTATATCAAGTTTTCCCAGAAAGTTCTTCAGTTCTCAAGACAGGCTTTTTCCTAGACATGATGACTTTAGTTGGAAAGACACAGAGTATCTCAATAAACACATGCAAACAGAAGCTTGCTTTGTGATTGAGTGACAAGTTACAAAACTGGTTACAAAGAGATTTTCCACATCTTTTGTTTACTCAGGACATCCTAACTCCCTCTGCGGTGATTTCACTGTTCCCAGAGATTCCAGGCTCTCAATCTCCCCGAAATCACTCTGGCACTGCCCTAAGTTGCATGGCACTGATGCTGTCCACGAGCAGGATACTCCAGCCTTCCAGAAATTCAGATTTGTCTAGAAATCACTGGACACAAGGCAGCTTTTCCCCACAATGCGTAAACCTGCTTAAGCCAAACACTCTCAGAACAGATCTCAGAGATTCCACTGGACCTAATGATTGAAATTAAGAGTAGATATTTATGCTCAGACTCCTACAGCACAGAATTTTAAAGATGAATGAAAAGCAAGCATATCTCTTAAATATTTTACTTCTAGACTTTGTATTCATCCCATTCAAATTAGATTAGAGATTACTCCACCTGCTTCACAGTTATTTTTTTTAAAACAGCCTTTTATCTTCAAATAACCTCTAGATTTAGCTGCCAAGAATATAGAGGTGAAAGCCAGTTTTTAACCTCAGAGGCAGAATATCTCCCATAGAACTAAATCTATATTGTACACTTTGATCACACATGAAGTGAACCTAAATTCAGCAATCTGTTTTATATGGCTAAACCCATGCTGCTCACAGAACTTCAATGACAGAAACAAAACATTATTCAGGAAATATATCTGTACAAACTGTACTGTTTAAGCTGTTGGACACTTCACCAAAAAGGCTCCTTAAAGCCTCTGTACTAAACTAGGAAGACCAGCTCCTAAATCAAACACCGTCTCGTATTTAATCCATTCAAATCAGCTGCACTTGACTGAGTTCTACCACTGGAAGGGCCAATCCCTCCAGTCAGAGGCACTGCACACTTGCCTTGGAGAAGGGACACCATGATGGCAGGGGCTGCACCAGGTGACCCCCATGGTCCCCTCCAGCCTTACCCATGCTATGCTTCTGGGACATGCACTTACAGCTACCTGGCAATAATAATCACCCAGTTCTGCAAAACCTGTAAAAAATGCTCTAAAAAGTTGCCTGATGGGAAAGATCTTCCCAGCACATGAAGCTACAGTGATAGATTAAAAGGCATTAGTTGAAGGATCCAAAACAATAGTAATCACCTGAATAAAAGGTAAGTGCACTAGACCCGATGGGAAAGTGGGGGGTACATGTCCATTATAAAATATGGACTCTCAAAACATGTCAGATTACAAGACAACTAAGATTACTGAAGTTTTGTCTACACAATGAACCTCAGAAAAACTAATCCAGTTAATTTCACTGGATTTGTCTCTGTCCATTAAATTCCTTTGCAAAAACTTTCATCTGTGAATAAAACGTGGCCTTAATTTGGTCTGGCTCATCTTGCCTTCAAAGTGAATGAAACTAAATTCACTGGAGGCCACTTTAATTATGAATGGGATAGTGCACACAGAGACTTGGTGGGAATTAAGCTGCCCTCTTCAAATTCCTACATTTAATTGACTTGCATCAGTTTTCCTCAGTATCTTGTGTAGTCCTGAACGGATACATTGGACACACAAGTATATTGCAGAGAAAGAGAGAAGCTGTGCTGAAGAATTCTCAGCCCTGTGGGAACCATCAAAGAAGAAGAGAATTGTTCAAGTACTTTAAGTTCAGTTTTAGGATAAATACCATCAGAGTTCAGAGACCAACTGGGAAGTATTTTTAAAACACAGCTACATTTTAATTTTCAGAAATGCTATTTAAAATGTCTACTATTTGCTTATTTGAATTATTTCAGGATAGAACTATAGAAAAAGGACAGCACTAAATTATCTTTTGAGGTGATTTATTTAAGATTTAGAGATTATAACCTATGACTGGAGGCTAAGATTAAAGAAAGTAGAAAACTTGAAAAGATCACTCTGCATTTAAGAGCTATGGCACACTCCCACTGAAGAAACAGCATGAAGACTGAAGAAAAGCTGGAGACACTCAATACCTTAAAATACCTCAGTCCTCATAAGATGCTGTGAAACACTTGCCATCACTGGTAACAACAGAGGTCCTTTACTTGCACTCTGTCACTGTATTTTCATGGAGCTTCAGAGGGTTTTCATAACACTATTTTTCTTACTTGAGAATGGTAACATTCTCAGAGGAGAAAAAATGTCACAGATAAACAAGAAGTCCACAGAAACAGGGGTCCTGAACTCAAATAAACCAAGCAAGAGACAGAGCCTTTTCAGGTAAGGATCCTCTTGCATCCCTGCATCAGCATTTTTTCAGGATAAAACAATACCATTGCTGTAACATTTTTTCTTTCCTACAAGAACACAGATACAGAGAATGGACAGTGTTTTCCTAATTCACAAGGCTCTCACAGCCTTTCTTTCTTTTTGTTCTAACAGAAGGCAGCTGTGCAAGGGATGAATGGAATGCCACTGATAAAGGTGGAATTTCCCTAAAACAAATACCTTAATTTTAAAACAAATTCAAGTATCAATTATTCTTTTATCTGTGGGAGTGATAAAGAAGTAGGCAGTATTATACTGCACTAGAATGATAACAATTAAGATTTCAAATGTTAATCTGAGGCCTCTTATTAAACGCACTTTCATTAAGTAACACACATCTCCTTCCACTAGAATATATCTCTACAGAAGCAATATGAACAAGCTAGACTTCTTCCTCATTCAGAATTTTTTCCTTATTTTGTCCCCTCATTTTCCTCATTTATAAGTTTTTCTTGATATGGCAAGAAGATATTGTATAGAAATATTGAACATACGTCCCCAAATGTCATCCTTCTCTCAAATGAAGGAGGTACGTTGCCTAAAACCCTAAACACTGTTTTCTCTCACAAAAGCAGCTATCATATACTCTGCATGCATAAAATTAACTTCAGTGCACAAAAAGCATGAAGTCTGAGTTACCATTCTTGGATACCTCTAATGCAGAGTTTCATTAATTTTTTCAAGTTAGCTTTGCATTAAAAAGGACACTTGGGCCTGTAGGCACCACAGCCAACACACTGAAAACCATCTTAACCCCCTGCAGTTTCCTTCATTTTGAGTTATTTAGCCCCTACACTGCAATTTCTAAAATCAATTGTCATAGCAACAGGAGGCTAAGCCTTCATTTCCAATGCAGATCATCCTCTCAATCCTGTTTTTGTGCCTCTGAGGTGCAGTTCTGTGCAGCCCCTTCTCCCGCGGACACACAGGTACCACACCCGGCTCAGGAGGCAGCTCAGCCCCAGCTCTGCTTCCCTGCAGCACTTCCTCCTCTGCTTTCCTTAAAGAACAAACAGCTGCTGCTGAAAAGCCAGACTGCTAAGATTAGTTCTCCTGTTAAGGCTGCTGATTCTTGAGCTGTAAATAGATACACAGCTGATTAAAGCTACCTTTAAGCAAGTGTTTAATTTGACTTACAATAGACTTTAAATAAGAGTTCCTTGAGGCAGGTGTTGGATGGGCATTATGCTGCTGGTTTTTGGTGAGGAAAATAATCCATTTTTGCCACAGTAGAAGGTATGAATAAGCAAAATTTTGTCCCCTGAGAAATCTGAAAAAAAAATAAAAGAGAAGTAGTATATTAATCATTGCACTTACTCATGCTATTTGAATAATAATAACTGCTAAAATCAATCTTACCTTTGACCTTAGAAGCCTAATGGATACTATTCTCCATGCAGATAAATTACCATATACAGTAATTTGCATAAAGAATATTACTTGGGCACAATCCAGATAATTTAAAAAAAAAAGAATTATAAATGTACAAAAATCTCCTTATGGCTGTCCTATGTAAAAATGGCAATTCACACTTTCTATTTCCTCTAACAGTTCTCTTTCCTGAGATCAAATACACCTTTCTAACTTTTCTTCTCATAAGCTTCCACAATCTATGGCAGTGAACCAGTGAAGAGTTATTCAGCAGAAGACTCAATCAGGATAGGCATATTCTTTGATGGAAAAAAAAAAAAAAAAAGAGATGAGCACAAGAAAGGAAGGGCACTATTTCATGGGGTTTATTTTTAAAAGAAACAGCATTTCCCTTTGCATATAATCTACTCTTATCTCTTAAGTCCTGCTACTTGCAAATACATAATCCAATTACTATAAGCTTCACCTTATTATTTTAAAAGGCACTTACAATCAGTTTTACTGTTTCTGTTTTTTAATCCATTCAACAAACTCATCCGCTTGTAACTGGGCCCAGCCTTATCAAAATCAGGATTTAACAGATATCTGCCCAAACCTTTTCATCATGGAAAACATTCCTCCTGATACTGCTTTTAAAATAGGCAGAAATATAACACAGTCCCCAATTTGTGAGAATTAGGATATGACAACAGAATGTTACATATGTACTAGAATACATACAGAAATAGCCAGATCTCAGTAGATAATGGTTCTTATGAAAAAACTGCCAGTCATCTGTGTGATAACTCAACTGCAACATGAGTTAAGTACCTAAATTAACAAGTGTTAACTCACTCAGCTCTAAGTCAACTCCTGAGCGTTTGTGAACTAATATATGTAATATCTAGTACTCAATAAGATTCCCAGCTTTTCTTTTTTCCCTTCACTGTGATGTATTTTCATGTAAGAATCAAAAATCTGACCAAAAAATTATTCTTTGTTGGCACTTACAAATGTCCCACATTACAGATATCCTCATACCAATGTAAATTATTTTAATAGTTCATAATAACATAAAGAGCATCATGTCACACATTGCAAAGGAAATGCAGTCAAACCACATGTGAGCATGACCTTATCTTTATCACCCTCACAGAACTTAAAAAAAAAACAACTGTAAACCCCTCAACTTACAGAATTAACCTTTAATAGCTCTAACACTTTCAAAGATACTTGAACTGCATGGGGTAAAAATAACCATCAACCGTGAATAAACCCAAACATTTCCACATATGCAATGTTAGCAAACTGAACTATCTACACCCTGAAACCCCCATGAGCTCCGGGAAACAGCGACACACTCCCTTCTGCTAAGATGTAACTTATCTGCCCTGGAAATAATCAAGCAAAGTGTATTCCCTTTTTCAGCTACATATTAACAAGCAACGATTGAACCAGTTCTGTAATTTTGTTCAACACATCTGTTGCACAGAAAAATAAACCCTTTCCAACACTTGACCTATTTCTTCTGTTGGAAGAGGACTTAACCTATGTGCTTGCAGTACCTCCTTTTTTATCACATCACAATATACCATTTAAACTACAATAACAATTATTCCACTTACTTTGCTGTTGTAACTAAGTTATCTAAAAGTTTACTATGGACACTATGATTGTCAGGGCACAAGGAAATGCATGGAGTTCAGCCCTTTTTGGCAGTTCTCACAAACGCACTGGAGCTTCAGCAGTTTAAGATCAACCTCAAATACTGCTTACGCTGTCTGCTGTATTCCCTGTCCAGAGGGCCAACAAACTGAAGAACACTCCCTGTGTGACCCCAACTCGGCCTGGGACAAACTACACAGAGACATAAATGCACAGAACAAAATTAGCACGAGATATCCAAAGGCTCAGGGGGTAATCTCAGCTGCAATTCTTTCATCATTCTGGGGACAGATTTTTATCTTTTTACATTTGCATGGTCCCTGCAGTAACTTCTGTTTGAAGTTAGCAAAGAAAACAAGGAAACACAGACTAAAGACACTACAAATATATTTCAAAACAAAGAACTTGATCTCAAACAGTTGTTTTGAAGGTAAAAATCAGCTGAGGCCAGAGAGCAGAGATGTTCTTCATAAAGAATAAATATCCACAGCATCTTCCTAATTTTTCCCTATTTTGTCTGACATTTCAAAGTAATCACTGACAAGGAGCTGAAGAACCTTTCTCAACTCAGTTTTTAGAAGTACCTCAATTCTCTTCTGACGCTCTCATGCAATGCTTGTCCGGAACTCAAACGGGGTTCCATTTTCCACTTCTACTTCTGACACAGGATTGAAATACTTGCTACAACTTTCTCAGCAGCTTAGGACCACCTGCACAGTGCTGAAAACCTTCTTTGCTAATAATCTGTTGAACTTGGGTCAGCATCTCCCCACAAAGTCTCAAGTGTGTGCTTGTTTCCATTATTTTTGTTCCATACACGCACACTGAAGTCCTTTTAAGTCCAGTCATAAAGAATTATCTTCTGCATTGTCAACTCTGTGCTTAGTTTGTTAAGACTTGGCTTTTTCGGTGCAAGTGGTACATTCAGACCAAGGCCCTACCTACAGTTACACTGCTCATTGGTTCTTTCAAGTTATTTCATTTAGCTCAAGCAAAATGAGGGAAAAGATATCTCCAATAACAGTGAAGCAGTAACATTCAAGAAGTAATAACAAGATCACCTGCAGGAAGGGTTTTTTAGGATGAAAATGGTCACTATCAGTATGTAGGTCCTCTTAAAGAGAAAGGACAGGCTTTGAAGAAATGATAATTCTATTTTAGCTATGGAAAGTGGCATTGCCACGTCCTGCAGACGTGTGTTGAAAACGGGGGGGGGNGGGGGGGGGAGGATGCAAAATTCAACACACAGCATCTGTCTACAGCTCATCTACAAGGGATCTATGACTGTCTAATGTTTCCTGTTCCTGCAGACACCTGTGACAGTTCTATTAGTCCCCACTTCAGTGATGTAACATTTTAACGACCAGTCCTTGTGGACAGTCTGAAGTGCTAATACAAACAGATCTTCTTTCTTTCTGAACCTTCATCCCCTGAAATCTCTTTATAACCCCTGCATGAGAAACATAAATGCTTTATCTATGTCCCAAGTTTCTATAGCCTTTCACAAGTTACAGATGAGGGAAAAGCTTTCTTCTCTAGCTAGAAAAGTCTTACTTACTCTGACTAGTGGTTCTTCCATGTGAGAAATGGAACACATTTCTCCCCTCCTTGGCTTATGCTGGTTTGACTCAGAAAATGTGTGCAGTGGATTGAGCTGACAGGGATATGAAGGCAGAAGCTTAAAGGACATCAAAAGCGTTTGCATGATGAGCTCTGTATAAATAGTCTTACTGATACAAGTCTTCAAGCATCCTTTATCTCCTTGTACACAGAGATTAGGGAAAGGCTCAAATGCTTAATTGTGTGTCAAGTGCACAGTCAGCGCATTAAGAGTTCAGTATAGTCTTTTAAAATGGAGTCTTCAGCATATTCATGCCTTGCCATAGACAATTCGGCTGCTATTTTAAACATAAGGCTTGTCTGTCTGTTACTCTTCACTTTACATTGTTTCTCACATCAAGGCAAAACATGGTGATTTTTCCACATTCCCCTCAAAAATACTGATCCCACCAATTAGTTCATCCCACAGCTTTAGTGACAGACTGATGGGAAAGTTCTCTCTTTTACAAGTACCATAAAAATAACAGCAAAATTGAACTTCTGAAATTCAGATTATGTACAAAAAGTGAGACCTTGTAAGTCCTTAGAAGCATAAGCTACTAGCTTGCATTATACATTTGTATAATGTGCTGGAATTCAACAGTAAGCACATCAGCTCAGTGTGTACTGTGCTAAACTAGCTACAGCAGGAAAGAACACACACACATTATGCAGCAAAATAGGACTGGTGATTTCCCCCCAGCCCCGTGACTCCCACTCTCAATTCTGCAAAACATGACATTCCACAGTTATTGCATTTAGTTTGGAAAACTAAACTAACAGGAATAGAAGACTTAATTCCTCTTCCTCCTAAAAACTTTGGCTTAATGTCGCCTCTAAGATTTTAAACCAACTAGAGATAAAAAGGAGAAAATAAAGTTTTGAGACCTGGAATCTGGAATGATTCATGTCACAACGTATTGGAGATGCATAATGTAAGTATAGCAACTGCGTGTTTCACTTAGGTTGTGTAAGTAGCTGACAGTCTGTGAAGAATCCAGCGGGAAAACTGAAATCCATGCACCAGACACATGTAGAGAGAAAGCCCTCCTGCCATTTGCACAGTAGGGAACAACATATCCCAGATGCAGCAGGACAGGCATTGAACAGCTCAGTGGCTGTGCTGGTGAGTGAGCAGTCCCAGCCTGTCGTGGAGCTGCTCAGAACCTGAATCCTGAACTTTTCCTCAGCTCTTCCTATAGGAAAGTCATGCAGTGAAGTTGATGCATCGTCTTTTACACTGAGAGGGAATTGAAATGTTTCTATAATCAATTATAATGGACACTAACTTGTTTTAAGAATTCTGAAGACACTAATTCCTATAGTTACTACAGCAGGATTAAAGCACAATTCTCATAAATCCTATTCAGTTGTTGGAATCTTTGCTTATGTTAAAAATCTGAAAGTATCAGTGTTAGGGAAAAACACCATACTTTTTCAATTAGGGGTTATTTCCAAAACTTTCTGCCAGGGTAAAGGAGGACAGGAAGGTGTAAGCAGATTATTTTTGATGCCAACTCACCATATCCCTTCTCATGGTGGAAAGGGAAAAATGTGGCAAGCTTTGTTCAGTGATCTAAGCAGAAAACTACCATCTCTGAATAAAGTCCTGAAGAAATTGCTGAGAGACAGCCTGCTGCAGTTGAAAAGGTCTCT